AGAGAGAGAGAGAGAGAGAGAGAGAGAGAGAGAGAGAGAGAGAGAGAGAGAGAGAGAGAGAGAGAGAGGTTTGACCTTGATATGTTCCTCCACAGCTCCTTTCACACGCGCTATGTAATCAGCAGATGATTCATCCTCCTTCCGTTTTAGAACGTTCTTTGATGTTGTTGCCCAATCGATGTCAAGCATTCCCATAACAAAGAAAGAAAGTTCACACAATCAATTGACGGCCATGCAATCCTCATCACAGGATTCGTGTCTAGCGTTTTCAAGAGAAGGGTTGATTTGGTCAAAGCATTTCGCAATGTTGGTGTCAAGCAAATATTTGGCTCTCATGGTGAGGCTCACCGGAGCTTCCATGCCATCTGGATTCTGGAGAACCACATCCTGGCCCAAATCTCTGTGTTGTTGTTGTTGTTGTTGTTGTTGTTTTTTTTTTTTTTTTTTTTCCTCTTTCTTTTTGAACAACCTGAGTGAATGCTAGAAGAGTTAGCTTCAGCCCAGGTTTCCCATTTGGGGTCTAGTACCATGTAGCTAATGCCTGTTTAGCTCGATGCGCAAAAAAAAATGGAAGTGGATATGTCCCGGCTGAGTTGTTTCACCCTCATTTGATATTCTTAAGGTAACTGCTGCTGCTTTTTTTTTTTTTTTTTTTTTTTCTTAAGGTAACTGCTGTTCCAAACGCTATTTCCATTTACCAATTTTCTTCCTTCCTCTCCCTCCCCCCCCCTCTCTCTCCCCCTCCCGCCTTTCTCCCATCTATTTGGGGGCGGACATCGGTCCAGTCTGGTGATTCAGCACTGGCAAGCAAGTTCCCAGCTACTTAAACCACCAGTACTTGGCCCAGCTATCAGCCGTGGGAAAAAAATAGAGTAGAAATGTTTCTAGTCGGATGAATTTGGGCGCTCCTGTAGTGACCTGTACATTTGCTAATATTGTGGCTTGTTAACGGGCACGACTTTAGGAAGTACTGGTGATTAAAGAACAATTATAGTAGGCATGTCCTTTTTTTTTTGTATGGTAGGCATTCTTTTATTTTTTCTTCTTTTTTAACAGTTGATGCTGATGCTAGGGATGCTGATAGGAGCAGACACCACTAGCACCCCCGCAGCGAAGGCTCCGTCTATTGGTGGGGAGCAACACCTGCTTGAAAACGGGTCCAGCGTCCCTGAGAGCATTGTAATTGTGGGATGATACCCTGCCAGCATTGATTACCGTGGTTATTACGGACTCCGCCAGGGCTCGATCCCTGGTCTATCTTTTTGCTGTTTCTGCTGCATCCCGTTTTCGGCCTGGCACCCTTTTTTCCAAACCCGTCCTTTGGTACTGTCGGATTTTGGACAACTGGCGCCATGCTGCAAATCGGGCGCCACTTTCAAATACCGCATTTTTCAGTTCTGCCCTCGGGGGGCTTTTGCGGAAATACCCCTGGTACCGTAAGTGTCACCGGTACTTGTACCGGCTCCCCGTACAGTACGGGAACCAGTCTCGTACCAGTTTTCAGCTGCTGTACTCGTACTCAGTGTGACTTGCTGTTTCGGCATTCGGAATCCRAGACTTCGACTTTGTGCCCTTGCCACTGTGTCTGCGTCCGACCCTCAGTCGTGTCGAGTGAGTGAGGGTGTGTCTGTGCTCTCACTCTCTCCCTCTCTCCCTCTCTCCCTCTCTCTCTTCTCTCCCTCGGCTCTCCCTCAGCCTCGCGCTCGTCACAGTGGTCCTCACGGGATTTACTGAGCAAGGGCGGAAGTGGCAGGGATGTGGACGAATGTCTTGGGCCCGGGGGGCACTGGGCTCCAAGGCATTTGGGCCATCCCTCCCCCTCCTTGTGAATAATAATGCGACAACACTGAGCCAACATTGAGAGAGCTGAATAGTGTCTAGACCCCTTCTTGCAGGATTTCCACCATTGCCAGCAGCAGGTGAGAGGAGGGGAAGGGGTCCTGGAAGTCCTGCGCCGGTCGGAGCGGGATCGCAGGATCGATGGCCGTCCGTTCATGAAAATGAAGCCTGTAGTGGCGTTTCATCTCTGCATGAAGGTCTTCTTCCTCTGCCTTATGATGAACCATCTGTCCATCTTCCGACCATGTCACCTTGGCTATCCATCCTCCTCTTTTCCCTCCTCCTCATCCTTCGCAGAAACGAGAAATGATCCGGTCCGCATCCCTTTTAAAATAAAGTGCACAATCTCCAACTTCTCCTTCACTGCCTGCCACCGCACGGTAATCTCGACCTGCACTAGTTGCTTGAGCTGTTCTGTGACCTCCCCCTCCTCCACCCTGACTTTCTCCATTTCCAACACGCACCTCCTCCACCGTATTATCCATAGTATCGATCTCCTTCCAAGGCGAAGAGGTTCGAAGCGCATCCGCCTTCTATGAAATTTGGACAGCGCCCAAGTAGAATCGATCTCCAGTCCCAGGGCCATGGTAATTCTGGAAACATTTGCCGTCGTATTCTAGATATACACCCTTGGCACCATGGCAGAGCACGGTCTTGCTGCTCCAATCGGGTATGGTTAATCAGCCAATTATTGGTGGGTTGGCAACGGTGTGCTATTTGCCATTGTAATGAGGAGATCTTGGCTGGTCTCAACTTTGTAGTCTTGGAACCATCGGATCGACCTTAGCCGGCCTCTATCCACGTTTAGCTGGCACTGCCATCTATCCTCCACCACATCCCGAAGGTGTCTCCTGGTCCTCAGCATCCCGTATGCTGTTTTTGCCTTCAGGTTGGCTAGTTGCACCTCCCTCTGAGGCCTCCCCCTTCCTTGGGGTACCGTACAGGCCCGCCTCCACCTCCATTCCTCAGGGTCCAGAGGCAAATCTGCAATCGAAGATCCCGGTCTGAACGCCCTACACCCCGTGTCCTCCTCCAGCACCCTGTTATGGAAGACTCCCTTTTTTTCCTTCCACTCGAAAGGTTGTCTGCCGCCAATTAAGTGGTTATCCCTCCCTAGTGTGAAGTATTCTATCAGCACCTCGTCCCACCCCACCAGATGAACCCACCCCACCTTGTCCCTCATCCCTGTTAGGCCCACCTAGTCCCCTTCCTCCAGGCGAGGCCCTTTTCAGAATGGTGTACCATGCAAATGGGAGGCTCTCTATCAGTTCCTCCAATACTCCCTGAGTCTGGTGGCAATACAACAACCACCCTTTCATTCTTTCAGCGCTCTTCCAGTCTCCGGCTTCCGCATCCCACAGGTCGGCCACCCGTAGCACGCTGTGTTTCACCCATCTTATCCACGGGGGGTCAGATCTGCATCTCACTTGCCTGTGGGAGTCAGTGATCCACTTATTACCAAAGAGGGGCTGCCTGAAGACTTCCTCCCACCTTTCTGGCATTGGTCTTGAGGGTAATGGGAGTTTCCTCTAAGCTTTTAGGAGACGCGGCCATAACTCTTCCACTGGCTCCCCATTCCTATATTTTCGTGGAATACGCCAAAAATTCCCAAAATCTATCGTCGAGCCACATCAGCGTCTTTTTTTTTTTTTTTTTAAGAACGGGCCCGGTGGGTTTCTGGGGCAAGGTCTGTTATCTGTGTCAGAGCTAGCGGGGACCACGGAGAGGAGGCCTCAAAGATCAGACTCTGAATCCAACGCATGCGGAGGGCCTGGAATTGGGTGGCAGGGTCTATGATTCCTAGGCCCCCCCCAGCCTTAGGTTGGATTATCGAGTCCCACGCTACCCGACTGATTGCATGCGGTGCTCTGCTGTTTCCTCTTCATAGGAAGGCAGCAAGCTGCCTCTTCAGGGTCTCAAGCCCAAGTTTGGACAGAGGCCACAACACCGACTTATACCATAGAGTGGCCAACACTGCATTGTTTATCACCAGGGCTCGTCCAAACAGTGACGTATGCTGAGGGCCTGGAGTTGGGTGGCAGGGTCTATGATTCCTAGGCCCCCCCCAGCCTTAGGTTGGATTATCGAGTCCCATCCTACCCGACTGATTGCATGCGGTGCTCTGCTGTTTCCTCTCCATAGGAAGGCAGCATGCTGCCTCTTCAGGGTCTTTAGCCCAAGTTTGGACAGAGGCCACAACACCGACTTATACCATAGAGTGGCCAACACTGCATTGTTTATCGCCAGGGCTCGTCCAAACAGTGACGTATACTTGTTATCCCATCCTTGCATTTCAAAATTTTCAAATTTGTATCGTTTCTTTTGAAGCATACCGTCGTTCAAATACCTGTTAGATGTGACTAAGCCAAAATGTCAACGATTTATTAAAAAAGTTTTTTTTTTTTTTTTTTTTTAAAGAGAAAAAAAAAGGGAGGGCAAAATGGTGGCAACACTGGCAAGACCTGAATTCAGAATGCGAAGGTACCAAATCTTTGTTGTTGTTGTTTTGGGCAAAAATGATTTTTTATTAAAAGCGAAGGAAAAAAGAAAAAGAAAATCTACGAAATCATTCCCACGGAGTGATAGGCCAAGGATCTCTTTCTCCCTCCATCTCTCCCTCCCTCTCTTCCCCCCTCATGTCCTCCCTCCCTCCCTCCCTCCCTCCCTCCCTCCCTCACCCACTGCAAGCCAAAAAGAAGGTCCAGATTCACTGTTTGCAATCAGATTGTTCTTCGTCAGTAAAGCTTTCGCTAAACACTGTTCACACCAGCAAAACAAAAATGAAATAGCGATACAAAACAAAAATGAAATAACGATACAAAACAAAAATGAAATAACGATACACACAAAAATGAAACAACGATATAAATCAAAAAAAGAGACCCCGAACGCAAATATGTGGAGCTATTCGCCGCTGCTGAGCTATTCACCGCCATCGAGCTATTCACTGCTGTTGAGCTATTCACTGGTGATGAGCTATTCTCTGCTGTAGCAAAGCGAAACAAAGGTAGGAGGAACATTGATAGCAATATACTAATATAGCAACTTGTACAAGGGCCAGGCCTGGATGCTGCCATGTTCATGCTAACAAAGCACGAACGTGACCAACATTTGGACCAGATTGATTTCCCCCCCCCAGCACGAACATGGCACCTGTGGGGCCTCACCCTTACTGTGTTCTGTTACTTTGCGCTCTTTTCTATCTTGCTCCCCTCTGTCTGTAGATATGGTATTCTGTTTCCCCGCCCACTTTTCCCCTTAAAATAAAACTCCGCCGTATTCTCTTATTTTTCTAAGCACAGTGCCTGTTTCTTTCTTTTGGGGTTTAGGGTTTAGGACATTCTCGAGAAAAGACGTACCTCAATTTTGTCAATGTTCATATTCTGGAATGGTCGTCTCTCTGCAGACTCCATTTGCTCCAATGATAACAGTAGAACTCTGGATTGCAATCAACCAGGACATGGCCTATTCATGTCAGCTGACAGATCGTTCTTCGCCCCTCTCTCTCTATTTCTTTCTCTCTCACACTCTCTCTCTCTCTCTCTCTCTCTCTCTCTCTCTCTCTCTCTCTCTCTCTCTCTCTCTCTCTCTCTCTCTCTCTCTCTCTCCTGTGTGGTAAAACTATGCAATGGTGAGGATTGTCCTCTGCTCTTAGCACAAAGAAGAAGAGGATGAGGAGAAGAACAAGAAACAACAACAAAGGAGGAGGAGGAGGAGAAGAAATAATGATGACAACCGTGATGATGAATAGCGATGATGCCGATCATGACCACAAACACCACAACAATGATGATGGTGATGATAACTAATGATGGAAGTCTTTGGTGTGACAAACACAGCATGTTGAGACCCCAAGTCCGGTTCCGCAAGTGATAGGAGCACAATGGGTGACAGTGCCCACACTGTTGACGAAGAAGAAGAAGAAGAAGAAGAAGAAGAAGAAGAAGAAGAAGTGGTGATGGTGATGACTGGGAACAAAGAAGAAGAAGAAGAAGAAGAAGAAGAAGAAGAGGTGATGGTTATGGTCGGGAAAAAACAAGCAGAAGAAAAAGTGGTGATGGAGATAGGCAGGAATCACAACCAGCGGCCGGAAAGGCGGTGGCCATGGGCAGTTTGGGTGGCGTCGTCGCCATTTGCAACCACTCACCAGCACTATAGACACATCGTCGCAAACTCTAAAACTCTGGAGGTATCACTGTGAGAACGCAGCCAAAAAACAAAAACACAAACAAAAAAGCCAGCCTAGAAAAACTGAGAGGTATGAATCACCAGCATTCGGCCTAGCTATTGTTTTCAAGCTCGGCCGTATTGGGCCGTATGTGTACCACAACCTTTGGAGATCCTGGCCACTGCCGACGAATTCCATCAACGGCCACTAAAACGGCCCCAACCCCCAAAGCGCGTATGTCTGGCTGTATGCCCCAACCCCCAAAGCGCGTATGTCTGGCTGTATATTAGGCCAAGTACAGGTTGTTAAATGGGATAGCAGCAAGTATTCCTCCCCAGATAGGAGTGACTTAAACCACCAGTACTTGGCCCAGCTGTCGGCCGTGGGAAAAAGATAGAGTAGAAAAGTTTCTAGTCGGATGAATTTGGGCACTTCTACAGTGACCCACGCGATTCCTAAAATCGTGGCTTGTTAACGGGCACGACTGTAGGAAGTACTGGGGATTTAAACCACCAGTACATTTCCCAGCTAGAAAATCAAAGCCGCAGTGTGGCCAGGCAGGCGAAAATGGTTGCATGCAAGACCCGTTTTGCCTGGATGGATGTGTAGCGAAATGGCACCCGGTATTTCCCGGGAGTCGCAGCAGCATGCACGCAGCGGCTTTGATTTTGTAGCTGGGAAACCTACTGGTGGTTTAAGCCACCAGTACTTGCGAGGCACTTTTGCGCGGGGCTCCAAATGCGCACTGCGGGCCAAAAAAATGCAAACCAGCGCGGGCCTCGTTCTGGCTGGCGCTTGCAGCCATTTTGCCCCGGCTGCCGACCCCCCGAAAGTTGCGGCATCATGCAAGCCGCGACTTTCAAAAAATGTCTGGGAAACTTACAGGTGGTTTCCACCACCAGTACTTGTGAAATTTGAGTCGCACATGCAGTCAGCCATTCTTCTTCTTCTTCTTCTTCTTCTTCGTATGCTTTTTCATCGTTGGTCTTTTCATGCTGTATGTATGTTTTCGACCATTGCCACAGTTCCACGCCGTTTCCACTTGAATGCATTTTTTATGCCAGCGCCCCAGGCCCGTTCCTCCCATCACATCACGACGACCAAGCGGCCACAAATTTCGGAAGCGCCAGCGGTTTAAGCAGCAAGTATTCCTTCACAGCCAGCAGCAGACTAGCAGTGACTTTAGACTTTAAGCTGCCAGTACATGGCCCAGGCAAACTTGAGAATCGAAGTCGGCCCAGGCAAATTCCCCCCTCCAGAACCTGAGGAGCAATTTGGGTTCCAACTAGCCCAAAAAAAGGATTGAGGAGGTAAATTAAATAAGACTGAACACACACGAAGCATAGAAAGTAATGAGGGGTAAGAAGTAAAGAATCAAAAGGAACCATGTACCAGCCACGCTAACTTTTTTTTTTTTTTTTTTTTTTTTTTTAACACACCCCTGGTGATGCTAGAGGTGCTGGTATAATCACCCGTTGCATGCGAGGCCCGTTTTGCCTGGATGGATGTCCAGCAAAGCGGCACCCCGGCACTTCCCAAGTGTCGTTGCAGCATGAATGCAACAACTCTGAAAAAATGGCAGGGAAACGTACTGGTGGTTTAAGAACTTCAAAACCACCAATACTTCGCCCATACATCGCCAGCGGCGAAAAACAGGGCCGCAACATTTCCACTTGAATGAATTTGGATTGCAGCCGCCATGCCCGTTTGACCCAGCGTCGTGGCTCGTATACGCCTGCAACTTTAGGAAGTGGTGGTTTAATCACCCATAAACAAGCCACAACTTTAGGAACCGTACAGGCCACTAAACAAGCACGGTCAAATTCATCCGACTAGCAACATTTCTTCTCTTTACAGCCAGTAGCTGGGGCAAGTACTGGTGGTTTCATATAGAAACCATGGAGAGAAAAATGATAAGAATTGGGAAAGGCGGCCCCCCTGACCCATAACCACGTTCGCTACCCTACCACAAACTTCATCTTTATACCACAGAGCAATTCCCCACTTCAGCTCACATCTGCCCCTACCCCCACTTCTCTTCCCTCCCTCACACCTACCCCCTTACCCCCCCCTAGCTCAAGGGACGCCCTCCCAGACTGAAGAAAACCCGAGGAGCGCTACCCGCAACCCTTCTGCTTGCCCGCCCCATAAACATCCCTCGCCTGTCACCCGCTCACATGCCGTTCTGAGGGCATACTCACACCAGATCTCTTTTACCCGTTTCTGGATACAATTGTGGCCAAATGCGTGCAGGTTCCGCCGTAAATGGGGTCAGATACCTTAAAAAAAAAAGGACTTCCAACTCAGCTACAAGGACTGGTTTTCGCTACGACCAGGAGCCTCTCTCAAGGACCCTAGTGATTTTGCAGATCCTTTTCCCCCTTCTCATCTAGCTCTGGTAGAGGTGCCATGATATGTTTAAAAAAAAAAAAAAAGAAGGGGGGGGGGGGGGGGGGGGGAGGAAAGGGGAAGATATGGTAGTTTGTTAAGGATAGATCTGGCGGTGCGTTTGAACTGAAGAGGCCCTTTCCTTGTCTTTTCATTCTTTTAAGAGGGGAGTGCAGCAGAGTTCATGAGGGGCGCCGGGCCCAGTTCGCAGCATGTGCCTGATTGATGTTTATCAGGAGATGTGATTAATGTTTATCAGGAGCCACTGGACCCGTTTTCCAGCAGGTGTAGCTCCCCACCAATAGACTGGAGCACTCTGCGACACAGGTAGGAGTGTATGCTCTTATCATCACTCCTATCTGTAGACGCAGGAGTTTTTTTTTTTTTTTTTTTTTTTTTTTTTGAAGGGTCGGAATCGAGATTGCCTCTTATCTGGAAGCAGTACCTAGTGGGTGGATGGGCTTGAAGCAGAAGAAATCAAAGATACTGACTACCTTCTTCCCCCGAATACAGTGTACGGTCATTATAGCTATATTTAGACTGAAAGATACCCCAAATACAGCTATAATGACCGTGCGACATGCGTTGTGTTCGGGCGAAGAAGGTAGTAGGAGACAAAAGATGCACTAAAGCCTCCTACTTCTTCGTTGGCAAAATAACCCAATAACATATGTTAAGGGGGTGCTGGACCCGATTTCCAGAAGGTACAGTTCCCCACCAATAGATGGAGCCATCTTAGTGGTTAGACCACCAGTACCTTTCCCTGCCTGCTTGAAAATCAATTCCGCGCCAGGTAACGTGGAAGCCAAGCGGGATCGGGCCGCTGTTGATAAATTGAATCGGTGGCCCATTTTCCGTTTTGGACTTCTTTTTTCTGCCCACAGCCGATATATGGGAAAGGTACTGGTGGTTTAAAGTTTAAACCACCAATACCTCCGAGCCTTCTTTTTCCCAACGCGGATTTCCAGGATTTGCATTGCGTGCCAAAAAACCCGAATCGCCAGCGGCACACTTCTTTTCTTTTCTTTTCTGACTGGCTCTTCCAACAACGACTTTGGTCCAGTAGCACTATTCATCCAAAGAACCCGGACCGGCGCAAGGGCACTATTCATCCAAAGAACCCGGACCGGCGCAACGGCACTATTCATCCAAAGAACCCAGATTGGCGCAAAATCAATTCTCAAGTCTGCGGGGCCGAAGAGGTACAGGTGGTTTAAAGTTTAAACTTTAATAAACCACCAGGCCATCCTCGGAGCTAACTCGACGAACCAAAGAATGCATTTTGCCAAGCCTAAAGTCCACATGCAGGCCTTTACAAATTACAAATTTACAAAAAAGCACATCTTGCAATTTCCCACCCTTTCCCATCCATCTCCCTGTATATTTAAGCCATCTCTGGCTATCCCTTCAAACTTGCATGGCCCATCTCACCCTTGCCCAACCTGGAAGGAAACACCTCCCTCCCAAACCTGACCCTTCCCCATGCTGACATGTCAGGTCTGGGTGGGCGTTCGCCGCACGTCGGCAGATTGCATGGACGATCCAGATTGCCGCTATAGTTTTCGCACTTTAAGACTCAAAAAAAAACACACTCTAACATTTTCAATCCTGCAAATGATGTCGGAAAAGTATCTTTTTTTATTTTTTTTTATTTTTATCTTCACATATGATGCCATTGGGAGAAGGAAAAACACAAAAGGGAGCAAAGAACACGATGGCCCATCCTCTACCTGCCACTTGCATAATGATCCATCAACTTCAACAGCTTTTGTCTCTGCCACAGGACAAGAAGGGAAACAGAATCACATAATAGAAAGAAGACTATCAGCCTGTAATTTCTGTCAAAAAAAAAAAAAAAAAAAAAAAAAAAAANTGTCCCCCTTTCCCCCCACAAGATCTGTTGTTAAATTGAAATCTGGCCAAAACACCAACCACCCTGGCATATCAGACTCCACTGCTTGGGAGGGAGGATGCAGGTCGTCAATCCTGACCCCCAGTCCTGCTGAGCATGACTGTTTTTTTTTGGTTTTTTTTTGCATGTGTGTGTGTGTGTGTGTGTGTGTGTGTGTGTGTGTGTGTGTGTGTGTGAAATAAACCAGGCTTGCGTTCATTTGTGGCTTAGCTGCCCTCTACGAAAGGAGCATATGGGGTGTTGCCCTCTCTTACCTCCTCCTCCTTCTTTTCATGCGTCCGAAACACCGCTTTTGGAACCTGGAATCAGGACATGGAAGTGTAACAGTGTGTGATTAAAAACGACATAATCCTGAATAATGTTGTTAGTACCGTAAATAGTAAATAGTAAATAGTAAATAGTACAACATGTTAGTTAGTATTTAGGCTACCAACCGGGCGGCTCGGCCGTGGAAAGACCAAAGAAGGGGCCAGCAAAAAAAAAAAAAAAAAAAAAAAAGAAACAAAGCCTGAAAACAAACTAACTATGTTATGCAGAAAAAGAAACTGAACAACTTTTCCCTCAGAGTCACATTGAAATTCTTTACCAAATTTCAAATAAAAAATACACTTTTTTATTACAATGTGTTTTTTTTTTTTGGCCCGGCCTGGCAAGTGATCCCAGGCCACTCTGGTAGCCTAGGTACTATTTAGTATTTAAATATAAAAACTATTAAGAAGTTGAGTACAAAAGACTTTAGAGAAAAAAGGGAAAAAAAAGAAAAAGAAAAAGAGAGTTAAAAAACGAGCTCACTTATATTCAGAAATGATGGAGTTATGGGTGATAACGTCAACATGTATATGAATGTTGAAAGCAGCCAGAAGGAAGAAAAGTGGTAAAGTATGAATGGTCATTGGTCACTCAATTTTCTTCGAATTCAGCAAAACAGTTAATGAAAAACCCATTCCTTCATGTTTAGTTGCAGCAATCAGAATATATACTCTCTACACGCACACACTCACTCACACACACGCGCACACACACGCGCACACACACACGCACACACACATACACATACACACACACTTACACACACTCACAAGCGTAATCAAACAAAATTGTCCGGTAAACCGTAGGCAGAAAGGGAGAAGAGGACAACAAACGAGGGGCTGCAACAAACTAACTGACATTTCGTAAAACTTATATTTTTTTCTAAATTCACGAAATTGAGCGTGACAAAAAACAACATTTTTTAGTGTTTTTTGCTAGGCTACCAGAGTGGCCCGGGGTCACTTGCCCGGCCGGGCCAAAATATGAAAATAAAATAAAATAAAATATTTTAGAATTTTATTTTTTATTTTAAATTTGGTGAAGAATTTCGATGTGACCCTGAGGCAAAAGTTGTTCAGTTTATTTTTCTGCATAACAGTGTTTTTTCAGAAATTTTGGATTTTTTTTTGTTTTTTGTTTTTTTGCTGGGACCTTACCTAATCCTTGCACGGGCTGGCCACCCGGGACCCGGGCGGCCCAGCTGGTAGCCTAGGTTTTTTGTCCCGATGACGCAGGGGCTGCATCACCCCTGTCTCTTATACACATCTAGATGTGTATAAGAGACAGCAGCATGGCCTTGCCAATGAGAGGATAGTGCGAGGGTTTGGTGGTCCCTCGGTGTAAATGCATAAGGCCCTGCATCAGGCACGTGCCCGCCCTAAGTGAAGGCGGGCCCCTGAACTCGTCAATTTTTGCAAAATCTTGGTCAGCGTCAGACAGTTGCCACGTGCCAATTGGTCACATCCGCATTGCTCGTAAGCGCCCCCGAGTGCTAAAAAAAAAAGAAAAAAAAAAAAGAATCCACAATAGTCGTGAGCCCTCCAGGCTCTTCCGCCAATGCGGTTGAAGCATGGAGCATCGGGCATTTGCGCCTGGGTGGTTGGGCATGCCTAACGAAATCGGTCCCACGCCACTGTCTGAAAGGGCATGGGCGCAGACACTTTGGCCAGGACTGAAGCTACTGGGAACTCAGTCTCACGTGGGGGAAAGCAAGCTGCAACAACTGCTGCAGCAGCGTCAGCAGGTGGCAGCAGCGCCTGTGCTGCAGTGTACCCGCAACAGCAGATACATGTGCAGCAGTGGGGCGCTGACACCCAAGTAAAGCTGCGCCAACCGTTTCTTGACGATCAATCAATCAATCAATCAATTGATCAATCGATTGATTGATTGAGTGATCGAGTGATTGATTGATTGATTGATTGATTGATAGAGTGATCGATTTGCTCATTATAGGTACGGGAGAGCTGCACCAGAGCTGTGTGTGTTTTAGACTTTCCCCACAACAGCCCTGATTCCACCCAGGTGAATAGATTCAGAATCAAAGCAGTCTTTGTCCTATTGCAGACAACGAGAGCGTTTGAGATGTCCAACGTATTAAAGCAATTTTATAATTAGACAGTTTTTTGGTTGTGCTTGGGGTACCCCTTTCATTGTTCTTGCAGCTCCCCTTTTACTGTGCCTCTTACGCACAAGACTGCCCACGTTGATTGTGGGTGAGCGGCAGCTGCCCACATCCCCGTGTGCCTTCATGGCCCACTTGCACGTTATTTCAGGAGGCAGAGTAAAAGGGAAGGTATGCTCCTGTGCATCTCTTCAGAGCTTCATACTCCTGTTCATTTCACTTCAGATCTTCAGCTTATACAGTCTTTGTGTCCGTCCTTCATTTTCATACTTCCTCCGTTCATTTCATTTCTGATCCTCGTATCGTCTATTCTCTTAATGATGCTCATTCGTATGTATTTGTTAGTAGTACAAAGGGAGTGCAGGGGAGGGTGGAGGGTAAGGGATAGAACGTGGAGTTCTCTAGGAGTATGGGGCAGGGGAGGTAGGGGCAACGGGAAGGAGAGAAATATGTGGAGGGCAGGATAGAGTATGACATGCATAGAGCAGGTGTGTGTGTGTGTGTGTGTGTGTGTGTGTGTGTGTGTGTGTGTGTGTGTGTGTGAGAGAGAGAGAGAGAGAGAGAGAGAGTCACCCGCCCCTCCTGTGTAAACAGAACGGCCGTCCCTCCCCTCTTTCCACCCTCCATCCTCATCGTGTCTATCCTTCCCCCCCATTAGGGCCCGTCCAGTTAGGTCCCCAATGACAAAAGAAAGTCACCAACAATTTTGCGGGGGCACCCAGGCCCTTGAAAACGGCCTGGGCATCCCCCCCAGAAAATGAATTTTTGGCTGGACCCACCAGACTGGACAGCGGACCCGGACATCCAGACCCGGACATCCAGGCCAGGACTGTCCGGATCGGGATCCGGACGTCCGGTTGGCAACCATGGCCTATACCCGGTCTCATACCCCCAATCAAGCTAGGTTACAGGGCATCTTGACCCGCCCCAGCTCCGACCATCGTTGCCCTGGCAGTCGTCCCTGGACAGTCACTGGATTGCCTTTCCACCCTCGGCAATCTCCAGATCTCTCTACAAGGCCTCACGCCCCTCCATACACAGGTTAAGGGCGATGCCCCAGCACCGGCCAGCGTCGTTCTGGCATCAACTAACTGAGACATTTAAACATGCATAGCCATGTCTGAAAAAAGAAAAAGACAACGGCTAAGCCAATATTAATTAACATCTAAAATTATCTAAAATTATGGACCTGATTTTCATACAATCTTGAAGGACATGAACTAATCAATGATTAATGATGATGAATCAGATGAAGATTAAAATACCTATTAAAGAACATTTCTCCTCTCCACCCCTTCCGTACTCCTCCCTCTGCCCCATTCGCTGCCTCCACCGAGAAGGATTGCCCTGATCACGAGGGCACCTACTCCGCCCCAATTAGGGACAGACCCACTTCCCCCTTCTCCCGCCAAGGCATCCATTTCCCCCCAAAGTATACCTCGGCCAACCCTCTGCTCTCATCTGCCACCGCTGCGAAATGATGACGTCATCGTTCCCAGCCAGAGACTAGAGCATCCCACGAACTCTGCTCTTTACTCCCTACAGGGCATTCACCTCCCTCCTCGTGAAGCCCCTGCAGAGTAATGCTCTCCCCCCTTTCTATACCAGACTTACCTTCTTGCCAGCAAGAATCATTTACGTGCACAAGGAGAGTCAGAATTGAGAATGTGATATAGGAAGTCATAACATTTCTCCCCTCCCCCCCCCC